CATGGATGCTCTCTTAATTTCTTCAACTTAAAAAATATTTGAAAGACCCAATAAGAAAAGACAACTTTGATCAAATTTAGAAATTTTTTTTTGACTTATAGCTCGTTAGATGGAGCAAAGTGTCTACTTTCGAATGCACTATAGTTTATTGATTTATAATGCGATTTAAGGATGTTATATAGGTTTTTCTGAATCACCCACAGAAGAAAATAACGTTTTCTTCTAAAAACTTTCGGTTTTTTTCTCGAAATAGGCTTCTCTATTTTTACATTTCTGTGCATCTTAGATTTCTTTGCCAATTTGGTACTAGAGAGCTGGAATTTATGTCAAAATGTAGTCGAGAGGTAGTGCTACAACTGAATGGAGCCGTGTTTTCGATTTTATCATTACTGTTTATAAAAAAACTAACTATTTTGAACCTATACCTCTTGGGTTTTTCTCATATTTTATTAAAGGAGTTTTGTGTGTTGTTTCATCAGTCAATAGACAGGCCGACATGACTACTCGTTACGGCACTGAGTTCAATTAGTTTTGGTCTCAAAAAGAACAACGAAGGATTCATTTCAAAGCAAAAGTACCTGAATTTCGATTAAAACACAAGCTCCTAATTGACGTCGAAGTCTGAAAAAATTATCTTGTTTGCTACAGTGTTCTTCCTTTCAATTAATGTCTATTTTACAAGAAAACAGGTGAGCATTTTGTGAATAACTATTATTAGAAACAAAATAGAGTGCTGCGATTTTCATCATTGGAAACAAGAGATAAATTCGAATTGAATCATATCTTATCCCATCTCCCCCCAAGATGCTTTCTGAGGTTTTTTCAATTAAATTTGTAAAAATAAACGTCAGAAAAATTATCCCTTTTAACATAAGAATAAGCAAAAATGTGATTCTTTCCACATTAATAGCTTGAAAAATCAATCGCGAGCTTTTATTGAAATACCTATAATTTCTGAATAACTAAATCTAAATATCGAGGCTCATCCAGTTTTGTAGATCTTCCAATGGTGGTTCGCATGCACACCTGAGAATTGAAAGTTCACCATAGCCAACTCAAGAGTACGTTATTTTTCAAAAAGGTTGCTTGAAAACCTTCAAGAAACCAAGTCGAGAAACTTGCAATAAACGATTCTACACGTCTTTACCTCGTCTTTCTAAAAATGAAAAATGCAACTCTTTATCTTGTTTCTATCAAACGTATCTAAAAACAAAATAACCAATCGCGTTTTTTTTTAATGAGCATTAGTCTCAAAAACATGTTCAATACGACTCTTCGAGTTTCTCCTCTGCCGATCTCCATATGAACATGAAAAGAGTGTTCTACTTGATTTTCTCTATATTATGATCAGCAGCAGTTATTGAAAAATACAATAAGCAACTATTAATAGATCAAAGATAGTGTATTTTATCGATGCGTCTAAATCCAAGAGAAAAAATAATACAATCAACCGAATATGACAACAAAACAATCTACGTACGGAGTATCAAGAAATCATACTCATTTATGCTGTGCTCTCTAAGGAAAAAATTCTCATATAATTTCATTCACTAATCATTCATGTAAAATACAGTAT